AAAGAAAGAAAAAGAAAGAAAAAGAAAGAAAAAGAAAGAAAAAGAAAAAAGAAAGAAGGAAGGAAGGAAGGAAGGAAGGAAGGAAGGAAGGAAGGAAGGAAGGAAGGAAGGAAGGAGAATAGAGCAAGGGTCTTCAAACTTGGCAAGTTTAAGACTTGTGTACTTTAACTCCCAGAATTCCTGAGCTAACATGACTGGAGGAGGAATTCTGGGAGTGGAAGTCCACAAGTTTTAAAGCTGTCAAGTTTGAAGACCCCTGCTTAAAGCAAAGTTGCTCTTTCCTGCCTCTCTTCACTCCAAGCAAACCCTTTAAGAACATTTACTATTGTTTTGCCCGTTGGATCATTTGACCTACAAGCTACAATTAAGATGCGTGGTCTTTTTCTGGCTGAGGAAAGTGTTTAGTCTTGAGCCATTGTCCAGGAAGAGGAATCCAAAGTTAACCTACTCTTTAATCCAAACCTTTTCTCTTAGGTCAGAGGAAACATTTCAATGTAGTGTCAGTTTAGGGAATCTTAGAATTAGAATTCTTTTATTGGCCAAGTGTGATTGGACACACAAGGAATTTCTCTTGGTGCAAATGCTCTCAGCATACATAAAAGAAAAGACACATTTATCAAGAGTCAAGAATCATCGGGTACAACACTTAATAATAGTCATAGATTACAATAAGCAGTCAAAACATACTAGGAAACAGTCAATATAAATCATAAGGATACAAACGACAAAGTTACAGTCATACAGTCACAAGTGGGAGGGGATGGGTGATAAGGAGTGAGGTGAAGATTTTGTAAACAGTTGGACAGTGTTGAGGGAATTATTTGCTCAGCAGAGTGATGGCTTTCAGGAAAAAAACTGCTCTTGTGTCTAGTTGTTCTGGTGTGCAGTGCTTTATAGCATTGTTTTGAGGGAAGGAGTTGAAACAGTTTATGTCCGGGATGTGAGGAGTCCGTAAATATTTGCACAGCCCTCTTTTTGACTCGTGCAGGATACAGGTCCTCGATTAAAGGCAGGTTGGTAGTAATCGCTTTTTCTACAGTCCTAATTATTCTCTGAAGTCTGTGCCTGTCCTATTGGGTTGCAGAACCAAACCAGACAGTTATAGAGATGCAGATGACGGACTCCATCATTCCTCTGTAGAACTGGATCAGCAGCTCCTTGGGCAGTTTGAGCTTCCTGAGTTGGCGCAGAAAAAACATTCTTTATTGTATGGAGCCCTACTTGAGATGTTTCAGGGCTGTGCATGGTCTTGGAACCTCAGGACACTCTGAGGCTGAAATGAGATGGTTTCTTGATGGTCAGGTACAATGCCAAAGGATTCTTCAAATGGCCTCCCCAGTAATGGAATGGATAATCCCTCCAGAGATCATTGCCTGGACAAAATGGGTTTCAAAGCCATCCTTCAGTCCCTGTTGAAGATGTAAATGGAAAGTAGGACAGGTATAAGATGCTCTAAAGCAGGGGTTCCAAGCCCTGGTCCATGGACCAGTACCGGGCCACAGCATGCCAGCATCTGGGCCGCACCAACAAGCGAAGCCCCATCCACGGGATGCAGACAGCATGCAAAACCTTAGATTAACAGAGTTGGAAGGGACCTTGTAGGTCTTCTAGTCCAGGGGTCTCCAACCTTGGCAACTTTAAGACTTGTGGACTTCAATGGCCAGCACCAATCAGCCAGCTTTGCTCGCTGAGGAGCTCTGGGAGTTGAAGTCCACAAATCTTAAAGTTGCCAAGGGTGGTTGTCCCTGTTCTAGTCCAACCCACCGCCCAAGCAGACCCTACACCAGGGGTCTTCAAACTTGACAAATTTAAGACTTGTGGACTTCAACTCCCAGAATTCCTCCTCCAATCATGTTAGCTCAGGAATTCTGGAAGTCCACAAGTTTTAAACTTGCCAAGTTTGGAAGATCCTTGCCCTACACACCATTTCTGACAGATGGCAGTCCAGTCTCTTCTTGAAAGCTTCCAGGGATGAAGCTCCCACAACTTCTGAAGGCAACTCCTTTCCTCTCCGGTCTATGGAAAAAAAACCTTTGTCCATGGAACCGGTCCCTGGTGCCCAAAAGGTTGGGGGCACCAGGGACTGCTCTAAAGATAACCCTAATTTATATACCGTAGGCTCTTCCTCCTCTGACCCAAACGTCCTACCTTGTCCCTAGGAATATTATCGCAAGCTGGAACACAAACAAGCCGAGAAAGGATTCTTGGCAGGAAGTAAACCGGAGGTCCCTAAGCTCGTCACTCCGTATATCCAAAGAGTGGACAGCTATGAATCTAGTAAGTCCAGTGCAAAGGGTGTGTGTGTGTTTCTAAGGCATGGAAATGCGCGAACCTCTCCTAACAGTGACTTCCTCTGCCAGTAGTGCGGATTCCTGGATCCTTAGGACAGGTAGCCATGTCCACCTGCTACAGTCCCCGCAGGGCTATCGATGCCGTGCACCATTTCTCTGTGGAACAGGTAGGTGCCCGATCGTTTCGCCCACCCTGTACCTGAATGGCAGCATCAGGAGGGGGCCTCTCTTTATATATTTTGGGGGGTGGGGAGAAGATTGTTGCAACTAACGTACAAAAATTTTCAAAAATTTTAGCAACAGGTTCTCTGCCCGGTGGTTGGGTGGGCGTGGTAGGCATGGCCTAATTGGCCTCCTGCACCACGGTTGAAGGGGGAGTGTTTTTGCCCTCCCCGGACTCCGGAGGCTCTCTGGAAGCTGGAAATGGGCTCATTTCTGGCCTTCCCGAACTTCCAAGAAGCCCGTTTTTCACCCTCCTCGAGTCTCCGTGTGCACCCTGCACTTACCTGCATCCAAAACGGGCCTTGTGGGGACTCCTGGGTATAGAGTTGTAATTGCAGGAATGTTCCAATCTCGGATGGCAAACCTCAGATAAAGAATGTTTCCAAGCAAATACAACTCGGGCAAACAAAGTCACTAATCTAAAGGAGGATTAGAGAGAGGAGGTCAACATATGTTAGACTTTAACTAGAGATAATTAATTGTATGGATTACTGTGCTAAACAGTAACCGAAAGTTAAGCAGTAACCAAAGTTAACCAATGATGGAGAAAAATTAAAAATGTGTATAAATGCAAGACTAGACTCCAATAAATATAATCATGATTCAGTTGTTCATGATCAAACAACTCGACTGCCTTGTCATTACACCTGGGAGAGGCAGGGCGGGGTCAGCCAGGAGTGGGATTTGGGGGTTGCTCCAAACTTCACAGAATCTTAGGGGCCCTCCAGATCCCCTGCAAACCGCAAGCAGCCCACCCCTGTCTTAAACCTATTAAATCAACATTTGTCCTGGGCGTCGGACGGACGTAGCGTGCCATTTCATTGCTCCACGATTCTGCAACTCGTCTGGAGAAGTCGTTGCAAATTCAGTGGGAAGGGGCCTGCAGATTCGTTAGAACGTGCTGCCGGCGGCTTCTTTTCTAGCGACCCAAATCTTTTCGTTTCCCCCTCTCTTCTTTTCCAAGGCGGTGGGAAGTCAACGGATACAAGTACTGTACCAGATCGAGAATGTAAGTGGCTGCTGGCTGCTTCTTTATACGTTTGTAAGGTTTAACAGTTGAGTAGATTAAAAGTCCCGGCTGATGTTTTATATGCTGTGGAAACAGATGTACCTTCTGCTCCTGGAGATAGAGGAAATTCAGCGGAAACTGGATGTGGCCCCAGAGGAGATGCATCCCCAGTTATGTGAGAAGCTTCTCCATGTGCTAGAGCGCACCTACCAAGCACTGAGAATTGAAAAGCATTCTGGCAAAGAGTGAGTCCAAGACAAATGACATAAGGGTAACAGGAGAGCACCTTTACAATGACTTAGTGTCTGCATAAATTCATTTCAGCTGCTTTCTTAACAGTACCAACAGTTATCTCGCTTCTTCTTTCTGCTTTCCTGCTAAAGCAGTGCCCCCCTCTCCAAAAATTTTGGGGCACAAGGGACTGGTTCCACGGGGAAAGATTTTTCTGCGGACCGGAGGAGGTGTGGTTTTGTGTGCAGCCTGGCTCCTGCAGATGGAGCTTCACTTGTTTGGGTGGCCCAGTTGCTGGCATGCCGAGGACCGGAAGTTGGGGACCCCTGTGCTAAAGAACGTTTTCCGTGTGGTCTGGAACTGTTGAGGTTCACGTCCTCCCTGCTCTATGACCCTCTGCTTTCAGTTTTGAGAAGGCCGTTCTCTACCCATTGACTGGGAATTGTTGTTCTTATCCAGAGTGATTCTGATTCACAATCGAGAGGCTGCGAGTTCGATCCTAGGCAGATCTGCTCGAGTGTGGGGGGTGGTGGACTAGATGACCTCCAAGGTCCCTCCCAACTCTGTGATTCTATGATTCATCTCCTTTTAACGACCCCATCCTCCCTCGCAGGGCGGAATCTGAGCAACTGAATGGAGCTGGGGTTTTTTTTACTGGCCAGATGCTCTTCCTGTTGCCAGCACGGAGTTTTTTTTTCCCCAGCAGATACATTCCCATTGCGCCCAGAGAGAGAGAGAAATATCTGCCTCTACCTAGGATGGAACTCATGAGAGCTCCGCCCCAGGCCAACCTCACCACTCAAGAGTGATTCTGGATAATTTCTGGAAATTCCAGGACATTTCTGTAGCTATACTATTGAGCTCTTTAACGTGTAGTTTTTCTCACTCCTCGCAAAGCCTTTGCTTTGATTTCCTTGGGTGTTTTTTTTTTTTCCTTTCAGAGAGGTCCAAGAGGAGTTTCTACAGATTCTACTGATTAGAAAAGGGAAGCGGCTAGTGGCACGTCTCCTGCCACATCTGTCCCCAGAGCAAGCCAAGATAATCCTTGTCAACATTGTACAACACCTAGCAGTGCTTATCAAGAAGGACTTGCTGGAGGAGGTACCTGTTCTCACCCTAGTTCTCCTTTAGCCATTACCCGGATATCTGGAGATCCCTTGCATGGTGGGGTTTTTGCGTGCAAAGCAAGCATTTTGCATTTCTAAGAACCACCTCACAGAATGGCTTGACTTCTTCTGACCCAAAGTCTTCAGAAAGCAATGGGACAAAATGGACGGACTTCATTCGAGTTGAGGTCCCAAGCTTGTTCTGCGGGGTGGGAAGGTTACAATCTGAATTTGTTCTGTGGCTCAATGTGTTGATATTGCTAAAAAAAGTGGGGGGGGGGTGCGATTGACCTTGGTTTAGCCATGATTGGTTGAATAAACTACAACTGGCTAACTTCACTAAACATATGAAGTGGTAAACCTGAATGAACACAGTGCAGGGATGGTCCATTTAGGATGCTGGCAACATTGTGGTTTAGTCCCGTGGGTGAACCCAGCTTAGATACAATGGTTGACTGGATTCCAGTATCTCTGGTCTATGGACTGGATGTCATAATTTGTCCCAGGGTGGAAGACTTGGGTTTGATCTAATGTTTTGTCACTTTGCTGTTCTTCCTCTTGGCCCCTTGGACTCTGGCAGACCCTCTCTGTCCTCTATAATCCTCTCTGTGACACCATTGGGCAGTTGACCTTTAGACAGTTGATGGACGTCCTCCACAAACTCACCCAGTTGCAGCCTGATTCTGTCAAGCAATCCCTCGCTTTGGTCTTTGGCAATAAGGTATGGGAGCGTACACATTTCTGAGCGGAATCCATCCTGGAGTGAGGTGTAGAATTTTTTCTTAGCAAGTACCATCTAGGTCAGCGGTTGCCAACTGGTAGGCCGCGAGAAAATTTTGGTGGGACGCAGGGAAATCTCACCCCCAGAGCCCCCCCCCCCCCCGCAAAGCAATTAATCCAGGCTGCGCAGAAACACAAGGCTGTTCTCCTGTGCCGGGAGATTTAGATTAGTTAGGAAGCAGGAAATGGTTGGATTTCTTGCTTTCTAGCTAGTCTTTAGATCTTCAGCTCTGCTTTTAAGCACAGCCGAACCTCCCTTACGACTGAAGGTTCTGTTATTCAGTGCAGACTCACGGCAAGCAAATTTCATGTGACAGACTGAGCTAGCTGATGGCAGATAGATAGATCACTGAATGATTCTTTGAGCAACTCAATCTGCCTGCCTGCTTTGCCTGATTTTGGGTAAAAGTTGCTCTCTTTTTTTTATAAAAAATTCAATATTTATATAAATATTTATAATATTTACATACAAGCCATTCCCAGCCAGTCACATGACCACCAAGCCACACCCACAAATTAGGCCACGCCCACAGAACCAGTTAGTGGTCCCTGGGATTTAAAAGTATGAGTTTGGTGGTCCCTGAGGTCCAAAAGGTTGGCGACCCCTGGCAGTGGTGGCTAACCATTTTGGGCTTCTGTGCCGAAAATTGTGTGCTCACTCATGTGCCAGCACCCAGAAGGCAATGCGCGCGGGGGGGCCATGCCCTCTGCGCATACGCATGCGATTCTCCTCCCCCCGCCACTCCCTTACCTGCACTACGCATGCGTGCGCCTCCCAGCTGATTTTTCGGCCCTTTTTTGGCCTCCCAGAGATGTGGGAGTGAAGCCTCTGCAGCCTTTGGAGGCCGAAAAATGGGCCCGTTTTGTCACTTCCGGTATTTCTGGAAATACAGGAAGTGACAAGATGGGCCTGTTTTTCGGCCTCCAAAGGCTGCAGAGGCTTCCCTCGAGCCTCTGGGAGGCCAAAAAAGGCCCGGAAATCAGCTGGGAGGTGCCCGCATGCGCGGTGAGGTGAGTTTGCCTGGGGCTTGCATGCCTGCACCTGTGGCACACATGCCATAGGTTCGCCATCCTGGATCTAGGTTGTACGTAATTCCAAACTTTTCCCGTCTAGATAGTGACTTAAGTTGAATCCAAGTGCTTTCTTAGTGGGTTTCTAATCTTCCACCCTCTTTCCCCAAGTTTGCCATCTCGCTGCTGTACCTGCTCTTAAGCCATGGTGAGAGATGCCACTCTTCAGATACATCCCCAAAGCCTGATAGCAAAGATTTGGAAACATGGTGAGGAACCCCCTGGGGAGCAGAACGATCCTAGTCTGGTGGGCTTGATCAATGCTGGGTGGCCTACGGTTGCTCTTGTGTCATTCTTCACAGGGTGGATTTGGTGCTCCTTGTTGCAAGAGAGCTGTCTCAAGTTCCCAAGATTTCCATGGTGGAACCTCTTCACCTTCCCAGCAACCTTCTCTTCCTCTTCTGTCGCTATGTGGACAAAGACATTGTGAACCGCTTGGATGTCCAGATGGACTGAGGACGATCCATGGTTATGGGAGTCTATTGTATAAAGGCACGTATATCTGTAAGGGCTCAACATGCATGGCAGGGCAGCGGTAAATGAAAGCTGTAGGGTCTTTATAGCCCAGTCACTTGACAAGAGGTGAGGGACTTCTCTGGTAATTGCATGTCTCCTTTCAGCTCTCTTTGGTCTTTGATCGGCCAGGTAACCTCCAGATCTTGCCGAACTACAATTCCCAGCATTCCTAGCAAGCACGGCGAATAGTGAAGGTGTCAGGGCTCCAACAAATCCACCCCCATTCAAATCTCTAGCCGCATCTCTCGGTGAAAAGAAAATTGATTTATTAGAAGTGGCCATGTTGGTGTTAGCTGGATGAAAAACCAAGCTAAGACCCTCATGGCCACTTCTAATAAATCAATTTTCTTTTCACCGAGAGATGCGGCTAGAGACTTATGATTTGAATAGGGGTGGATATGTTGGAGCCCTGACAGCCAGCCAACACTAAAATACATCTTTCATTTCCCCCTTGACCCCCCTGGTCTTCCCACCCCCACCCCCTGAACGTATATTCTCCAATGGGACACGTCCATAGCCAAGAGACATCAATCATGCTCTCCAGTAATTTTCTTGCGCTCCGACAACTTTGGGCTGCCAGGGCGATTATCTAGGCACTTGAGGAATGCACTGTTTCCCCCCCACTCCCTTTCTGCTGGCAGCTAAAAAAGACCAAAGGAGTATCTTTTTAGTTGACCGATGGATTCTAGGGATGGTAGCTCAATAACATCTGGAGGTCCACAGGTCCACCTCTTCACCTCTTTCATAATAGAGGACGTGTGAACTCATTGGTCTTTTTAGAAATGGGAGAGGAGGAGGAGGAGGAGGCCCTTCACCATTATTGGTTATGGGAAAGAGGACGGCTTACTTTTCTATAATGCCTATCCTAATCTTCCCTTTCATTTGATGCTCAGCACTAGCACTTAAGACTTCTATACCATTTCAGAGTGCTTTTACAGCCCTCTCTAAGCGGTTTGAAGAGTCAGCCTCTTGCCCCCAACAACCTGGGTTCTCATTTTACTGACCTGGGAAGGACGGAAGGCTGAGTCAACCTTGAGCCTGATGAGATTGGAACTGCCAAATTGCAGGCAGCCGGCAGGCAGCAGAAGTAGCCTGCAGTGTTGCACTCTAACCACTGCGCCACAGTGTCTGGTGACTTTCTAAACTAGTCCTCTTGATCAGAAACGTGGGGAGAACTTTTACATCTTGCTGGACGAGAAATCCTTAAAACGGGTGTAGCATTCCAAGAAGATACCTTTCTTGGTCCTGCCCAGGATTGAAATGAAACGCTTCTACATAACAGACCAGACACTGTGGCTTCCGGTGCTTTGATCTTGCCTGTCCGTTGAATAATTTTGGGACTGTACATCTTCAGATTACAGAGAATCAGAGTTGGAAGGGACCTTGTAGGTCATCTAGTCCAACCCCCACCCTGCCCAAGCGGGAGACCCTACACCGTTTTTGATAGATGGGAGTCCAATCTCTTCTTGAAAGTCTCAAGTGATGACACTCCCACAACTTCCGAGGGCAACTTCTGTTCCATGGGTTGATTGTGAGAAAGTTTCTTCCTTATTTCCAGGTTAAATCAGTTTCCGGCCATTATTCCTCATCTGGTCTTTGGGTGCTTTAGAAAATAGCTTGACCCCCTTCCTCCTCTCTGGGGCAGCCCCTCAAATATTGGAAGACTGCTATCCTGTCTCCCCTGGTCCTTCTCTTCCCTAGACTAGCCAGGCGCAGTTCCTGCAACCGTTCTTCATATGTTTTAGCCTCCAGTCCCCTAATCATCCTGGTTGCTCTTCTCTGTAATTTTTCTAGAGTCTCAACATCTTTTTTATAATATGGTGACTCAGGGGTCTCAAACACAATTTATCTGGGGGCCGCTGGAGGCAGCGTCTGGGTGAGGCTGGGCCGCACATAGAAGTGTTTAGCCAGCTAGCGACGCATGGAGAACGCACTAATATTATACTTTCATATCACGGTGGGGGCCATAGGATATCGTCCTGCGGGCCGCAATTGGCCCGCGGGCCACGAGAATGAGACCTCTGTGGTGACTCTTCAGTCTTCAATAGCTTTAGTAGAAATGGGGCCAGCGGTGATAGCCAGTTGGGTGTAGCGTAGCCTTTAGGCTAGAAGCCAGAAGAGTTTTAAGTTCTAGTCCCATCTCTGGCACATAGCTGGGTCATCTTGGGCCGGTCACTCAGCTCTAGGAAGGACAGAATGACAAATCACTTTTGAAAAACCACACCAAGCAAACTGCAGGGACTTGTCCAGGCAGAAATAAGGAATGAACACCAACTCAAAAGAAAATAAAAGAAAAAAGAAGAAAAGAAAAGAGCAATCGGTATGAGATTAGACTTAGGCCTGTTTTGTTTGAGTTAACTCCAGGTGTCCTTCTGTCCAGCCAAGGAAAGTGTTTAATTACTGAAAAACAGGATTTCAGGAGATGTAGTTCTGATAGAGTCCTGCCAAAACAAGCAGTAGAACATGATACTTGTTTGAGAGTTTCCTTTTAAGCTACTTTGCTTGCTGTGTCATCTGTTAGAACTCGCTTCTCCATTGCTAGAAAGGGTGTAATGTTGACTGACCAGCAATTGGTCAGTTGCCAGCTGAAAATAAAACCCCAAGTCTTCCTTGTTGGATTCTTAAGTGACTCATGCAACTGCAGTTTTCTAGGAACCACACAGAAGCTGTTTCCCGTGAACATCTCGGACAATATTTCTAGGCAAGGATAATTATGAAATAACTGCTGTAACTCAGCAGCTGAACTGGATAACCCTTATTTTTGCAAATAATGCATTGAAAGCAACGCTGGTGGAATCTCAGGATTGCCTTTGTTTTACAGAAGATGCTTTCACCGCGTGCAGCCACAAAACCTGGAACTTCGGCTTGTTCTGCTGATGAGGATTTGGACCAGTGACTCAAGCTGTCAGATGCTATTAGAGATGTATAGAAAGTGTTCCAGAACCGGATCCTTAATTTAACAACACAGATTTTGTATTTGGTGGGGTTTTTTTGGGTTTGGGTTTGAGTTTTTTTTTTTTGGTAGTACTCTGTGCCAATTGTAAATATCTAGTGCAGAAATATCTTATTTCTGATTGTCTTCTGTATGTATTGCATTTAAAATATATTAAAAGCAACTCAAAACCTGTCTGGCATCTTGGCATGGGAGGAAGGGAGGTTGTGGTTGGATAACTAGGCTTGATCTTGTCCAAGATAGTTTGAACATTCCTGTGGTCTCCAGAAAGGTGCTTAAACGAGTTAATAATAGGGCAGCTAGATAGTGTGATTGAATCTGTAGTTTTCATGTGCATTCACGCATAGAAAATGTGTGAATTCAGCTTTCAAAATTCCAAAAGGGGATACTGTCAGGCTACATGTGAAGATCCAATTAAACTGCTTTTTCCGCTACTCAGGCCTATTCGCAGCAATCTTCTCAACTAATGGACTACATCTGGTTAAAGTTAGATGAAGCTCAATAGCAATCAAAGGGTGTTGGACTTAATTCGCTTGTGGCAACGTAAGGATTCTAGGCTGATTCCTCTTTTCACTCCAGTTCCAGGTTCTGCTATTCCTTCTCCTACAGATACAACCAGTAGTAGCAGACACTGTCTTCTCTCCAGAAGAGTCTGCAAGGTATAGTCAAAAAAAGACAAGGTGGTGTCCACGATGGTACAACTGAACTCTCTGCATTTTCTACATGTCAATGCACATCAAAACTACAGGTTCGATCACACTATCTAGCTGCCCTATTAACTTGTTTAATCATATCCTGAGGGTCCCTCTGCTGCTTCCCATCAGCTGATCCCACTCAACATTTGAGAGATCCAGAAAAGCTTCCTTCTGACTCGTAAGATCCAAAAGAAATAGCACTCCTCAATATCTTGGCCTGATGGCCTTCAGGCTTTGAAAGCTCATTGCAAATTCTTTTGAGTTAACGCCTGGTGACAGGTGTAGTTGTTAGCAGCAAAACTCGAAAGTCAATATGTAGAGATCAGATACCCTGCAGTTGGGCATGCAGCTCCTCCAGCTATACCATACAGAACATAACATGTCAGAGCAGTAAAGTCAAAATGTTTAGAACTGTTGGGAGGGTGGAAAGGGTTTGGTTAAGGATGCCCCAATTCCCCAAAATCATGAATACCCCTGCTGGAAGATCTTTTGCAAGTGTAATAAATCTTAAAGTCATATAAGAAATTGCACATTCAGCCATGTTTTTAATTTCAATTACTTGGGTCTGTAATGCGGTATTTCTCAATCTCCGCCATTTTAAGATGCATGGATTTCAGCTCCCAGAATTCCCTAGCCAGCATGGAGACTGACTGTGTGTGTGTGTGTGTACACATACACGTACTTACATATGCAACTAACTATATATAGTTAAGTTAGTTGCATTCTATATATCAGGGGTGTCCAACCTTGGCAACTTTAAGACTTGTGGACTTCAACTCCCAGAATTCCTCAGCCAGCTGGCTGAGGAATTCTGGG